TTGAAACAGTGAAGAGTTTTACTTATCTGAACTCGAAATGAATACGAAGGGAACAGAAGAGGCCGAAATTCAGAAGAGAATAATGAAGGGAAATAAAGCCTATTTTTCCCTGATTAACATATTCCGCTCCAAGACGGTACATCGAAAATCGAAACTTAAGGTCTATAAAACTATCATCAGACCGATAGTATGCTATGGATGCGAGACATGGCTTTTGACAGAAAGCACTAAACGAAGACTAGAGGTTTTCGAGAGAAAAATCCTAAGGAAGATTTTTGGACCCATCACTCAAAATGGGATGTGGAGATCTAGATATAACCATGAACTCTACCAACTGTTCAAAGAAGCACCTATTGCAGAGTTCGCTAGAGTACAAAGACTTCGATGGGCTGGTCATGTGGTACGGATGGATGCCGACAGATTGCCGAGAAAGGCCTTGGATGGTAAAATGCAGGGCAGAAGACCAAAGGGAAGACCAGATAATAGATGGGAGAACGAAGTCACAGCAGACGCGCACAACTTATTGAACGTCAGGGCTTGGAGACGAGTGGCGCGGGATCGCCTTTGTTGAAGGCAGAAGTTACAGGAGGCCAAGGCTCAATTTGGGCTGTAGCGCCATTGGAAGAAGAAGAAGATTCTGAAGTCGCCATCCACTGAGTGAATATATTATTTTTATTATTTTAAATTTTATTACTAATATATAGAACAAAAAAAACTAAAGTGGTATGAACATGTAAGAAGAACTAGACAGTAGATAAAGAGAATAACCGAATGGAGCCCCATAGAAAGCAGGAAAAGAGGACGACATCGAAGATCCTGGAGGAACGAAGTAGACGACGCCATGAGTAAGAGAGGCCTAAACGATGGAGAATGAGACAACAGAGAGAGATGGAAACGTTTAAGCGAGGGAAGGCAGTGAATACTGTAGAATCCCTGAATAAATATATATATATATATATAATATATATATATATATATATATATATATATATATTATTTTAAAAATATGGATGTAGTTGTAGCATAATTTCGTAACCAATGTGATATTTGCAAGAAAAAACGAAAAAAGACACAAAGAAACGAGACATTGGTCGTTTATGACAACGAACCATATGAAATCATTTCGCTTGACACTAGTGGTGGATTTGCAGGAAACAACTCACCTAAACGTTATCTTCATCTTCTGCAAATTATTTTATTAGGTTTGCATATATATATATATATATATATATATATATATATATATATATATATATATATATATATATGTGCTTCTAAAGGTCGACAAGCTAAACATCCACTTAGGTTCTTACGTTCTATTTATGAGAAGAATAAGGTGTAAATTTTCCTTGCTAGTTTAAAAAAAAAGGTTAATCTTTATAAAAAGTTCTGTAAGATCTAGTATACCAGATTTGACGAAAAATATAAATGTCACTTAAAAGTAAAGTCTCTCTCTCTTTCGTCTCCTTCCACAGAGATTACATTTTTTTTGCATCTTGAATCCTTCTCATTCCATATCGTCTGCGGTCGCGGGAAGTGTGTTTCAGTCGTTTTTATTTTATCATACCTCTGTACTATCCACGGCTCAGTTTGTAGCTCGCGATAAATAAATGTTATTTTCAGGAGGACAAAACTAAGATAATCCTGTGAGGTAATCTGCTCGCAATTTTTCCGATATTAGTCCACATTTGACCGTCTAGAGTAAATCTTTTAAGATAATATATGTCATTTGCAGACTTAAGAAAAAAATTAAGAGACGATATTGGTGCACTGTTATGTGCTATATTTTAAGTTCTACTACACTGTTAAAATTTGTAACTTTCTTCGGTAACAATGATAATTATAAGTGTTTTAAATGAAAAACAATAAAATAACTATATTTTTCATTTACTGTGTTTTTTAGAGAACTTAATCAGACAATAATAAAAAGAATAAGACAAGATATCAGGAACAACAATACCAAAAAAGATCAGAAATATACAAAAGAACAAGAGCATGAAAGTGATCAAAACTCTAAATAGCAAAGGTCAACAACAAATACACCAGATAAAAGATAAAAATGAAACCACTATAAACGACAACAACCAGATAATAAATATTGTTAAATATAACTAAATAGACTTATACTCATCCAAGCACCAAAACCTAAAAAAAACACGATATGTAATGAAGAATACTAAATTTAGGACCTAAAACATCACCAGAAATTATTAAAGAGGAAGTTAAATATAACATATTAAAAATAAAAAAACTTCTGGAGACGACAAACTCGCAAAAGAAATAACAACAGCTGGAGGTGAAACTACTTTGGAGGCAAATAAAATCTTAATGGACAGGTATCTCTTTAGGGATGCTTTTCCAACCTCTTGGCAAAACCCGCAGGTAGGTACTTTTACTATACAAGAAATGAGACAAACACAAACTCAAAAATTACAGACCAATAAGCCTGTTAACACATCCGTATAAACTGCTTACCAAAAAAAATACCAACATACTATCAAAAAAGTTCGATAGTTACCAGCCTATTGAACAAGCGATATTTTGCAAAGGTTATAGTACCGTAGAACGTCTACAGATAATACCGACACTTATCACAAAGTGTAACGAATATAATGAACCTCTTCATTTGAAATTTGTGAAATATAATAAGGCATTCGATTCCATAGAACTCTGGGTCGTATTAGAAGGAATGAATAACGTAAAAATTGATTCCAGGTATAAAATACTCATAAATTACATATACGGCAATGCAACCACGCAAATAAACGTAACAGAATATCTAACAACAAGTAAAATTAGAACGGAAAGAGAAGTTAGACAGGGGAACACTTATCTCTCCAAAATAATTTACTCTTGCATTAGAAGATGTGTTTATGAAGTTAATTGGAAACACCACGAAATTAAGATCGACGGCAGATTGAAGTTACCCAAGATTTGCTGATGACGTAGTACCTATAAGGAACAATACAGAGAAACTACTCTACATGCTAAAGGAGCTTAAACAATAATGTGCGACAATCGGTTTAAAAATAATTTAAATTAAAAAAAATAATATTAAATCAAAATATCACAATATTCTTAGATGAAAGTGAGATGGAAATTGCTAAGAGTATATATCTAGGTCACACAATTAAAATATGCAAACAGAATCAAACGGTAGAGATAACTAGAAAAATGCGAATGACTTGGCAGCTGTAGCAAGACTTAGTGTTGTGTTGAAAAACAAAACGATATCAATAAATTTAAAAACAGAAATGAGTATTCAACAGTTGTATTCTACCAATTATGGTCTATGGATTGGAGCCAATACCACTTACAGACCGACCGTGATCAGCCAATAGATTAAGAACAACACAGACGGTCATCGAACGAGCTATGTTAGGAGTTTCTCTGAATGTAAATATACGAAATGAGGACGTTCCAAGCAGGAAGAAGGTGGAAAATATAATTAGAAGAATTGCGCAAATAAAATGGAGCTGGGTAGGACACGTGGAAAAAAGACAAAACTGTACAGAAAAATTTGTAAATTGAAGACTACAGGAGCATAGTGGTAGTAGATGAAGACCACAAAAACGTTGGCTAGAAGACATCAAAGCAAAAGTGGGGGGGACAAACTTGCACCAAATAGCACAAAACAGAGAGGACTCGAGAGCTCATGAGTAGGCGTTTGTCCAGCAGTGAATGTATATATGCTAAAAAAGAAGAAAAGATATGCCTGGAGCAGTTTAGTAACGAATTACTGTTCTGAAAATTTGGCCTGTATTGATCAAGATGAATTTATTCGCACGCGATAATTTCTTGTACACTGTTGGCACGTCAATTTTTTTTATCATTTAGCAGAGAAAGGGTTAGTCTACAAAAATTTAATGTATGTACTGACAGAAATTTAATTCAGCGAAAAGCTTGTTGATTTTAAACATTTGTGGATTTTGTTTCATAAACAGTTTTCTAATACTTTTAAAACTGAAATAGACAAGACGAAAAACTCGTTCGGAAAAACATTCTTATGAAATTTTTTGCCTATTCCCTTTAATGAGATACCCCAAGATTCAAGTGGTCGCCCACACGAAAACTTGTTCAAATATATTTAAACAGTTTTTTACAAATTGTAGCAATGAATTTTTTCAGTCCAAATTTTTTTTTTAATTTGTTGGACCATTCTGAACAAAATAGGTCTACAAGGAACAAAATTTGGTACACTCATTTGGCACTTATTTGTATAATGAGAATTTAAACCATCAAAAACTTGTGATGGACCAACAAATTCAAAAAAAAATTGTGCAGGCCGAAAAAATTTATTATTAAAAAAATTATTGACAAAAATTTGAACAACTTTTCGCCAGGACCACCTCTTGAACCTTATTTGGGATATCTCATGATCTCATAATCTCATAAGTTATTATGCAAAAAACATTTATGGGAATATTTTTCCGAACGAATCCAAGCTTTCCGCCTTGTATAAAAGTGAATTTAAAATTACTACTGAGAAATATAATAACTAAAATTTGTCTCACCTGACGTTTTGGAAGCAAGCGTCTGTGTGTATATGGCCAAAGCACTGTTTCAAATTAAAAGGAAAGATTGCTTATATTAATTAGTTAACTATTACTACAAAGAGTAAACAACGTAGAGCAGTATTTTGAAAAATGTTAAGTCTATTTAAAAGAATATTCATAGCACAACCATATAAAAGGCAATCAGTCTGATATACGGAACATAAATATGATCCATAGAATAATAAGCTTTCACAACCGGTAGTTTTTAATGGTAGGTATAGTATTTTCAAGTTTTATAGCCAATAATCGGGAATTATTTCTGCCTGGAGTTTTGTCAACGAACGAAAAAAACAGTATCAAAGACGATCCATTTCGTGCAGGCGCAGACGAAATATCAGGAAGAAATCATTTAGCCACTTTAAGAGGTCTCTTGATTTATCAAAGTATCTATATATTAAAACTTATTTAAAATAATTAAGAAATTTAAGAAATTTTTATACTCACCTTGGGATTTAACAACCACCAAACAACACAAAAATAGTAAGGAATTCCCAAATAAAGCCATTGCACTGGATACCATTGCCGAATATAGGTAGACTCTATACGACTTAACGGTACTATCTGCTATTGTACGGTCCACTTCCAATAACCGAAGCTAAGATACTAACTACTAACTCTAACTGTTGTGTCTGTCGAAAGGCGAGCTTGTACTTGAATATGTTAATGACGTAAAATACAAGTCTTCGTTAAAACTAAACAAGTTAATAACTCGATGATTAAACATTACAGGTGGTTAAACTGCAATAAAAAGAATCTGGGAGACAGATGAATAATTTAAAAGAAATGTGAAGTTTTTTTATAAATTCATAAAATACTATGAGAGTTCAAGGAATAATTATATTGTAGAAAATTTAATGAGTAATAATAAAAATATTACTCATTCGTGATAAAATATTTATTATATTTAAAAGAATAAATAAATATAAATATATATTAGTCCAATAAATTCGGGCGGAAAATAGGACCTTACCTTCCAATTCTGTCGGACTGCATAGATTTAGCTGAAAATTTGGATTTAAGCTTATTTTGCCCTTCTTTTGAAAATATATATATATATATATATATATATATATATATATATATATATATATTTTATATATATATATATATATATATGGACGAAGTGTGCTTTTTGTTTTTAATAGGTTAAAACTACCCCTAAGTGGAAAAAATATGAAAACACATTATTAAGCGTTGTATGCATAGGGATATGATTTAATTAAGTAAAATAAATATAGACAATGATAATTTGTACTTTAACACAAATTTTCAATCCTTAGAAACCACCGCTTATGAAGTAAATAAAGTTAAAAACCACTTTTTACGATGTAAAATGCTTTTTAAATAACGTTTCATTAGTTTTAAGTAAGGCAAAATCGGGAACGATCAGGCAGGCTTCACGGCAGGAAGATCATGCGTAGACCACATATACACACTGGAGCAACTGTTGGAAAAGAAAAAAGCAAAAAATAGAGATATACATTTGGCATTTGTGGACCTGAGAAAGGCGTATGACTCTGTACCAAGGTCAGAACTATAGAGCAATGTACAAATTAGAAATACAGACGGAACTCATAGAAGCTGCAAAAGCTCCGTATAAAGAAAATAAAGTGTCCATTAAAGTGGGAACAAGAATCATAGAAGACTTCACCACAACAAAAGGGCTCCTGCAGGGTTGTTTCATATCTCCAACCCTATTCAAAATATACTTAGAGAAAGCCTGACTACATGGAAAAGAATATGTGAAGGCATGGGAGTACCAGTACGGAACGAATACCTATATACGTTAAGCTTTACAGACGATCAAGTAGTGATTGCACAAGACCAAGATGACCTCAGCTACATGATGAAGGAACTACAAGAAGAATATACCAAGGCTGGCCTAGATATTAACCTCGCGAAAACAAAGTACCTATCTACAAGTGAAGAAGACACAGAAGATCTACAGATTGATGACAACGTAACAATCAAAGGAAATGGCAAATTCAAATACTTTGGGGTTTATAATCACGAAAAAGGCAACAACAGAGGAAGAAATTACGCAAAGATTAGAACAAACAAGAACAGCAATCCGACAACTTATCTCAGTATGGTGGGATAAACACCTAAATATGAAGACAAAAAGACAGATTTATAAAACATTAGTGCGAAGTATTATGACATATGGGGCTTAAAATTGGATTATAAACAAGAAAAACAGCAGTAAGATAGTAGCAACAGAGATGGAATGTCTGCGAAGATGCTGCAGAGTAACAAGAATGGATAGGAGAAGTAATGACGAAAATAAGCAAAGGACATCAATAGAAACAGACATACTAACATATATAGAACAAAAACGACTGAAGTCGTATGGACATGTAAGAAGAACTAGCGGCAGCAGATGGATAAAGAGAATAACCGAATGGAGCCCCATAGGTAGGAGGAAAAGAGGACGACCCCGAAGATCCTGGAGGCACGAAGTAGACAATGCCAAGAGTAATAGAGGCCTAAACGATGGAGAATGGGACAACAGAGAGAGATGGAAACGGTTGAGCGAGGGAAGGCAGTGAATAGTGGGGAATCCCTGAATATATATATATATATATATATATATATATATATATATATATATATATATATAAGTTCTAAGTTTTTTAAGCCCTAGAAAGCAAACCTTTGTGCAAAAAATGCTTATAAAACCCATTTATAGTTTAAAATACAATGAAACTTATCCATAACGGACACCACCGGGGAAAAATGTCCATTGTGTAGAGTTATCGATTAACCAATTGAACGTAAAAAGAAGTTTCGATTTGCTTGACCTTTAATTATATATTTTCGTACATATTTGCATAAGCATATACCTACACAAATAAAATATTAAATTAGTAACGTAAAATTAGTAAAATGTAAAAAAGTGGGTATTACTTTTTAAAAAAAAATCATCAATTATGGTTTGTTTTTTGTTTTGAACATTATTTTTCACAATTTTTGACTTAACATTTAGAATTACATCAAATATTTTTCACTTCACAGGTAAGCATCATTTAAATTACGTACATTTGTAGTAAGTTCTAGTTCATCGTCATTCTCATTGTCAGAAGCCTTTTACATTTGTTCATTTTCCACAATTTTTTCTTTATTACTATTTTTTTAATTTTTTACTATTTTTTAAGAAACCGTACCTAATAAAAAACTTTTTTAATTGTTTTGGTTGAATATTTTCTACATGCTGTCTGTTCCAACCCAAATTAAGGCGTTAGCAATCGTTATGGACTTCTTCAGTTCAGCCGTTGATTAAGAACATTCTATAGATGATAACATTCTTCTCGTCAGGGATTTAAAGTTTTTAATTATTCCTTGATCTAACGGTTGACTATGTTCTGTTGTATTAGGTGCCAAAAATATTATCGATATGTTAGATATACTGAATATCCAGATGAGATCTTGCGTTGTCTAGGAATAAGAGAATTTTTCTATTTTGACATTACACTTGTCTGTGAAATTTGTGCAGCTAATTTGTCATGATATCTCTGGCCATTCAGGCCTTCTTGTTGTGGTACCAGTCGACTTAAAGTTTATCAACATGAAAATTTTTAAAGTATCGAGGATTTTTCTTTTACCAGTACCATTGGTTTTTTTCTATTTAAATGTGCACACAATAATACGGTCAGCCTTTCATTAGCAGATTTACGCCCAGTGCAAATTTAATTACAACATTTAAAAGTTTTACTTAATAATGCTCGCTAATACGGACCAGTCTCGTTAGCATTATAAATATCTTCAAGTAAATAGCCACAAATTTCGCAATTTTCTTTGCCACTCTAAAACGTCGTCAAGGTTAACATTTGCAGCTTCTCCAGAAATTACTCTATATTTAATGTTATGCCTTAAGCAAAACTTGTTAAGCCACCATGGTTAAAACTCAAATTAAGTTCTTGCGGCGCCTCTAAAGCTCTTTCCTTTATTATCGGTCCAGATAATGGAATATTCTTATTTTTCACTTTACAAAACCAATAGTACACTATAGTATTGATGCAAACACCTTCAGTTTTCAAATATGTTTTTTGGTTGAACATTTACACTTTCACTATACCACTTTTTTAAATCAGTCTTTTTCTTTAAAATGTAGGTAGAGTTAATGGATTTTGGGAACAGTTATGACCTTGAACATTTCACATAAACTTCTGTACTAAATAAGCATAATGCATAGCTCTTGTCAAAATCCAATACATTAATAATATAATTACATATCTTCGATTCTAAAATATTGTAAAAGACTTTAAAGAGTCTGTGTAAGAAAAAAGATTTAGTTATATTCTTTGTGGCATTTTCAAGGTCATAGCTGTTCCCAAAATCCATTAACTCTACCTACTTTTTCCATTTTACCTTTTTCAAATAAAATTTAACTTTACAATTTTACATTGCACTTTTTATCTTATGATCCCTGTAACATTGATTCAAAAGTAAAATCTCTCCTTTTATTTATAAAATATTCATTCTCTTATTATTAATAATCTTACACACCTTTTTAACCAATTCAAAATATTACAGCAAATTTTAATACAATTCAACTTTCCCTCAAACTTATACAACCAGCTTTACATCTTACCTGTAGTTAAAACTCCCAACTTTAATTTTTTTTTCATTTTACTTAATATATCTTTAACTTTACTTTCTTCACATAAAATATTTAAATATACATCCCTCATCATTGGCCCATAAGATAAATCTCCTTTTTCCAAATTTTATGATTCGACCGAACGATATTTATATTATTAAGGTAAGTGAGCTAAATATTGCCACCTTAACGTTTGGCTCTAAAGAAATCCTACACTTTTATTAATAAATAAAAACAAATTTGGGTAGTAGTAAAGAAATGTATTTTCTTTAACAATATATTTTAATTCTATTAAAAAACTAAACAAAAACTAAAGAAAGAATACCTACTTTTTGTAGGTACTGCAGAACTACGGTTAAAATAATACATTTTTCTGAAAAAAATAAAGGCAATTAAGTAATATATACGTAACATTTTTCCTGCAAAATATAACATTGCGGGCAAGTAAACTTTGTCATCTTTAGTCAGTCCTATACAGGCCTCGTGAACATAACGATGGCACACTGTGCACAAGCGCATATAATACTTTTCATTGCTTTTTTGATAACTTTCGTTGGATTATTCAAATTTGGTATTAGTGCAAACAAAAAAATTTTTGGTTACTTGCTGGGCTTTACTGTTTAAAGCTGGCTTTCTCTTTACGGTGGGTAATTTTCGGTGTAATCAGCAGTCCTGTATCTTTAAAAGAACTATTTAAGCATTTGAAATCAGAAGTTGTTCCTTGATTAGTCACCGGATTACATTTTATTGTTTCTTTTGTAACCGTCTTACCTTTCTGTTTATAGTTTAATTCAAGTAGTTGACTGTCATCTTCAGAGCTACTGCTCCTCTTAGAACTTTTCATAGGTTCATGTTGACTAGAGACATCGTGAAGACTAAAGTCTGATAATAATTCGCTACTTAAGACAGTAATTAAACGCTTCTTTTTTTGTTATTAGTTTTCTTT